TATATATATCAGCAAATTCTTGCGAACAAGAATCAGTGACGAAGCTGGAGTTGCGCTGTGGCTAGATACTTCAACAAGACAACGACCTTAAACACCGCTCAAATTCTACCAAAGCATTCATGCAGAGGAACAAGTACAATGTTCTGGAATGGCCATCTCAGTCCCCAGACCTGAATATCATTGAAAATCTGTGGTCTGTTTTAAAGCGGGCTGTCCATGCCCGGAAACCATCAAACCTGACTGAACTAGAGATGTTTTGTAAAGAAGAGTGGTCAAAAATACCTTCAACCAGAATCCAGACCTCATTGGAAGCTATAGGAAACGTTTAGAGGCTGTTATTTCTGCAAAAGGAGGATCGATTAAATATTGATGTAATTTTTCTGTTGGGGTGCCTTACACTTTCTGTAAATCCTATGAACTTCATTTGACTTCTTAAATATCACTGTGTTTGTTTGCTATATGATATATTTAATTGAAATTGCTGTTCCGAACAACCAATGATCCATAAAGAAAAATCTTGAAAATGACCAGGGGTGCCCAAACTGTTTCATACCACTGTAGGTGAGAGTCCTGTTTCTTTTTTTCTTTGTGTTTTCAAAAAGCTGAGCTTGCCTTTTTCTACTAAACTGCACAAACTGTGTGTAAGCTGCCATGTCAAAGAAAAAGTTTTCTAAAGTCAATGTAATCACCGTTATATACATTTTATATATTACGTTTGCAATTTTTTTTTTTTTTAAAGTTGGTAAAATTACCAGAATTTGGAACGATGAGGTGTCCTCCCTGATTGTTAAAGGATCCATGAGCCAAACAGGAGGGATCTCTGGTCCGGGCTAAGCTCTGGTTACAGAGGTTCATCGTGTCACTGTTTTCCATCAATGACTGTGTTATCTGTCAATCGAAAAAAGCATTTGCAAAGCGGTTGAAACAGTCATTTCAATGGGACAAAGAAGCTGAAACTGACAAACTACACTTTGTATACTTCAGGTTTATCATGGCTTATCAGTAATACGGGACGATAAACTTAAAAGTATTTGCTAAAAATATTGTGTACAGGTATGTCAAACAATCTGAGTTAACATTCTATGATGTGGTTGATTATGGCTGCCAGACAGGAATTTGTAATCGGGCATTAAGGATTGACAACAAACAGCATCCAACTACCTAAGCACTGATGTTGATAAAATGATAGTAGAAATGAGTGTCAGACATCGGCAGACACCACAATACCTTAGGAGAAAGTTTGGAGGTGAAGTCTCCACCGAGGTCATCCTGTGGTGTAACCAGACCAGAGGAGTTGTACACTTTAATCTTCAAGTTGGGGAGAGGGTCCAAGAGAGGGGAGTTAGTCATTGGGATTTTATCGGAAACATCATGAAGCGCATAGACTGGACCTCGATACATGGCAGCTGCATTTGTCAAGTCAGGAGGCACGGTGAGAAGATCAGCTGCAGAGAGAAGCAGAAGAGAGAAATAAACGAATAAGAAGAATAGAAGGAATTCGACAAAAACAGGAAACAGTATGTATGTTTGGAGTTTAATGTTGTGCATCTAACAATGGAACGTTGAAGAACACTGAAAGAACATTAAAGGGAAATACAGCACTGAAATCAGACATACGCAAGAAGAGGTTGTGAGAAGTTACCCACGTCCATGTTTGTTACCATTACATACTGTACCATTAACATCATATTCTTTCTCATAATCTCATGTACTCCCTCACCTCCTCTGGGGTTACCCCCAACATCTTCATGTCCTTCATTACTACATTAATAAATCTTCCTGAAGATCTTTTATTTGTCCTTCTGCCTGACGGCTACATTTCCAGCACCCTATGTTTAATATATATTTCACCTCTGCAGTAATGATAATTTCCACTCGTTTCCATATTGGTCATTCCATATAAAAAAACCCTTAGCGGGAAGCTCAGCTTTGTTGTGTTATCTTTTCCTTGTTTAACAATTCACTGATTATCACAGTGTCCATGTTGTGTATGGATGTCTAAAACCTCAGCAGTCCAAACCTCCAAAATCTCAGCAGTTACCAGCGGAGGGCAGAGGTACAACCTTAGTATTTTTACTAGACAGTCACAGGGAACCATACCAGGACAAACAACAGTTCACACTCACACTTTTACAGCTCAGTTAGAGTGAATAATTCAACTAACCTTGCATGTGTTGAAGACTGAGAGAAGAAATAAAAGCAAATAAAATGAACCAACGCCATGAATTTCCAGGGATCAATATTTTCTTACACCCCTAGTTACCACTGGGAATCAAACTAGCTATCTTTTTGCTCCAAGGCAACACAAGCAAGCAGCACTAAAGTCATTCAGTCATTAAACCATTGTTTTGACTCTGGAGCAGTATCCTCTTAATTTTGATATCACTAACCATAAATTTTAATTTGAACCTAAAATAATGTTTTGATTGATATTCAATTGGCACTGGCTTTTGCTGGACTTCATTTACAATGCCTAAGTATTGTAACTAGGAAATACTCTGTCTACTTGATGTAGGTATCCAGTGTATGTGTGTTCCAAAAGCAGAAAAAAAGAAAAGTACTTATAATCTGCAATTATATGCTTTTCATATCGTAGTTTTATTTTTTATTTTTATTTTATGTATATTAAAAGTATTTAATTGTTCTTGTTTATAATTAATCACATATATTTTTCTATTTTTTTATTTTAACATAATATCAAGTTAAACAATCTAAAGAATAAGTTTATATATTTTACTGAATTCGTATAAAAAACGTAACATAATCAATGGACAATTTCACTGTAAAGTGATGATACCGTTAATGTATGCAAATATATTCATTTTCACATGCAAAGTCTTACATGTGTGTTGAATATCAATGACTTACAAACATACAGGTTACATATACTGTATATGGAGTACATGGGAGGGAATTATCAAGTTTTTCTGAGGTTTTCTTTTCTGCACAGCAGGGAAGGGTAGTATGAGCCATTGGGTAAAGAGGTGAGAGCTAATCAGCTCAGCATACTAATGTCTGTGCATGTAATATTCATCTGATTATTTTATTGTCAAAGAAAACGTTACAAAGTATCTTACGAAGCAGGCAGCACAAGGGAGACTCTCTTTAGGTAAAGCAGGTTTAATAACCACATGCAAAAACAACAGCAAAAAAAACAAAACAAAAACAACCTAATTTGTTAATACTATGCGGCCAAGACTTCTCAAAAACATGAACTTCTGGGCAAGAGAAAAAAAAAAATTTAATCTTCAGTACATCTGACGTCAACATGGGTGATCAACCTGGGACCATGGCACAGGTTTGGCTGTAAATACATGACAGATTCATTAAGGCAATCAAAGAATTTAAGGTTTTCTTAAATGTAAAATTCTATCTAAAGACAGCACAAAACAGATTAACCACAAATTGAACTGAACAATCACCCCAAAAAGTCAGAGTAAGGGAGAGAAGCAGAGGCGGCCAAAAATTGTACTTAAGTAAAGGTACTGTTACTTCAGAATAATATTACACAAGTGAAAGTAAAAGTAAAAAGTAGTCATCCAAATAATTACTTGAGTAAGAGTAAAAAGTACATGGTAAAAAAACTACTCAAGTACTGAGTAACTCTTGAGTAACATTTATTTACAGAGGAGAGTTTATCCCATCAACAAAATAATAAAACAAAACAAATTAATTAAATACCTTAAAATAAAATAATCTTTAGGTAAGTTAAAGTAGCTACATCAATAAAAAATAAAAATCAATGAAATTAAATGAGTACATAAATAATTAAATATTTACGATATAACTTTAATTATAGCATTCGTTACTACCCACCTCTGGAGAGAAGTATACTGTATATACCCGGGGGAACCAGGTGACCAAAGTCAAGTGAGACTAATCACAGAGACACAGGTGAGTGTGATCACCCAGCAGACAAAACAGAAAGGGAAAACATACAGCCCAACAGAATTTTTTTTTTCTCCATTTACCTTTAGCGCTCACTTTATTCTATTGCACAGCAAAAAATATCTGTAATACTGTGGTGGGTTTGATGGGAAACAATGATTTCCTGAAATCAATCAATTTTAATAAATTTTCCATGAATTATTTCCAATCATTATAATTATTTTGCTTTGTTTGGTCAGCTAGACATTCTAATATTGTGATTTTAGATTATTGGGAGCCATTAAATGCAACTTGTGTAAAAACTGAGAAAGTGAATCTGACCCATTTGACAGTTCTGTTGAACTGCTGCAGGCTTTTCCAAATCAACAATACTTTTCCTAAAGAGCAGAAAACAAAGGAGGGTCGGCTCCCTACTCAGATTAGTTCCTCTTTCAGTTCCAGCCTGTTTAATTGTAATTGTATTAACAATTTGTCAAATAGCCTGGAATCACCTTGTTGCTTTCTCAAAAGTCAATCTATTCCAATTTAAAAATACCTCGTTATCATGCTGCAACACCACCGCACTCACACACACACGCTCATATTTTGTCTGTCACATATCACTCTTCTGCTCTGTGTCACCAGGCTGCTTACCCTTAAAGCTGATGGGTATTCCTGCCAAATCATCCCTGCTGAAATTTAATGAACCACTAATGAAAAGCCAACATGAGAGAGAGAGGAAGGGGAGAAAATGAGAGGTGGAGGAAGAAAAAAAAGGATGGATGGGCGAGGGTCTGTATAGGTGTGAGATAGAGATGGAAAGTCAGAGAGCAAGAAGGGGGTGAGGAGGGGAGGGAGCAAGGGATTACAGGGACATAATTCTTCATTAATAGTAATTGGAGATGGCCGCACCACAGAGTGACGAGCATCCTAATGGTGCACTGATAAAATACACACACAGACCAACACAGCAAACAGCAAATTAAGCTGACTGTTAACTCATTTGCATTGTATTTTCTCTGACCTTACTCTATTTTTAAAATATATACCATGATATGAATCACAATAGCCCGACCACAACTGACCACATAACACACACTTTGAATTATTTAGAGGCAGGAAAAAGATTCAGTTTTCAGACGGAGGAGATAGTGTCATTTTTTTTCATCCGGGCATCTACGTTTATATATTTTTTATTGAAGCAGTATATTAATGCAGATAACCGTAATTTAATTTAAGATTATTTTTAATAAAGGGAGAGAGTGCAAGGATTTCTCTAATATAAAACATGGCGTTGTGTTAATATAAGAGTCTTTTTCAATTGTAATAGTCTTCCAAAACACATTTAACAAATATTGAAGCTGGGAGAACTACTTTCTTTAAGTCAATAAAAAAAAAAAAAAGAAAAAAAACAATAAAAGCCGAACCCATTGAAATTAAACCTTTATTGTATCACAACATGTAGGTGGCATTGAGATGCATTTCTAACCCAAAGTGGCGGGGGTGACCCTCCGAGAAAGCACAAAAGATATTTCAGGGGCCACACCAAGGGAAACTTTCAGTGTTTGCTGTTGTCTTACAGTGGCGATCTTGCCATGATTTATATACATTGGGGCTTCAAAATACAAGCTACCCAAAATACCAGTTTTCCAAGTTACGAGTAAGCAACTTTTGCAAGATGTTCCTTGTGATACAAAGAAACATCAAGTTACGAGTGCTTAACAGAACTCAATTTTTTAACACTGTTGCACTCCCTGTCCCTCGCTTCGTTACTTTACCCAGCGCTTTATTTCTCTCCTTCCCTTTCTCTCAGTGGGAACCACTGCAATAAACAAACACAGATTTATAATAAAAACATTATTTTGACCAAGTAGCATTAACTCCCCCTACAGGTAGGATGGAGTAACACATTTCAGCGAAATGTGTTACTCCAACCTTAACGTGGTGGAGGGGTTTGAGTATCCGAATGAACCTAGGAGCTATGTTGTCGGGGGCTTAACGCCCCTGGTAGGGTCTCCCAAGGCAAACAGGTCCTAGGCGACGGATCAGACAAATAGCGGTTCAACCCCCCCTTTGTGATGAAGAAAAATACAGCAAAGAGGTTCACGTCGCCCGGATTGGGGTCACCGGGGCCCCACTCTGGAGCCAGGCCCGGGGTTGGGGCTCGCGGGCGAGCGCCTGGTGGCCGGGTCCTTGCTCACGGGACTCGGCCGGGCTCAGCCCGAACAAGCGACGTGAGTCCGCTTTCCAGTGGGCCCACCACCCGCAGGAAGGCCCACAAGGGGCCGGTGCCTTGTGATTTGGGTGGCGGTTGTGGGCGGAGACCACGACGGCCCAATCCCTGGACAACCACTCTAGCTAGGGGGACATGGAATGTCACCTCGCTGGGGGGAAAGGAGCCTGAGCTCGTGCAGGAGGTTGAGAGATACCGACTAGATATAGTCGGGCTCACCTCCACACACAGCTTGGACTCTGGGACCCAACTCCTTGAGAGAGGCTGGACCCTTTTCTACTCTGGAGTTGCCCGCGGTGAGAGACGGCGTGCTGGCGTAGGCTTACTTATAGCCCCCCAGCTTGCCAGTCGTGTGTTGGAGTTCTCCCCACTGAGTGAGAGGGTCGCTTCCCTGCGCCTTCGGGTCAGGGACAGGTGCCTCACTGTAGTTTCGGCCTACGGGCCGAACAGCAGTGCAGAATACCCGGCCTTCTTGCTGACACTGAGAGGAGTACTGGACAGTGCTCCTCCCGGGGATTCCATCGTCCTGTTGGGGGACTTCAACGCCCACGTGGGCAACGACAGTGACACCTGGAGGGGCGTGATTGGGAAGAACGGCCTCCCCGATCTAAATCTGAGTGGTGTTTTGTTATTGGACTTCTGTGCTAGTCACAGTTTGTCCAAACAAACACCATGTTCAAGCATAAAGGTGTCCACCAGTGCACTTGGCACCAGGACACCCTAGGCCGGAGGTCAATGATCGACTTTGTAGTCGTGTCATCTGACATCCGGCCGTATGTATTGGACACTCGGGTGAAGAGAGGGGCTGAGCTCTCAACTGATCACCACCTGGTGGTGAGTTGGCTCCGCTTACGAGGGGCAAAGCTGGACAGACCTGGCAGACCCAAACGTATCGTGAGGGTCTGTTGGGAACGTCTGGCAGAATCCCCGGTGAGGGGGGCCTTCAACTCCCACCTCCGGGAGAGTTTTGAACAGGTCCCGAGGGAGGCTGGAGACATTGAGTCTGAGTGGACTATGTTCTCCACTTCCATTGTTGATGCGGCTGTTCGAAGCTGCGGTCGTAAGGTCTCCGGTGCCTGTCGTGGCGGCAATCCCCGAACCCGGTGGTGGACACCGGAAGTAAGGGAAGTAGTCAAACTTAAGAAGGAGTCCTATCGAGCCTGGTTGGTTCGTAGGACTCCTGAAGCAGCCAAAAGGTACAGACAGGCCAAGCGGACTGCAGCTCGGGCAGTCGCGGAAGCAAAAACTCGAGTCTGGGAAAAGTTCGGGGAGGCCATGGAGGAGGACTACCGGTCGGCCTCGAAAAAATTCTGGCAAACCATCCGGCGCCTCAGGAAAGGGAAGCAGTTTCCCACCACGGCTGTTTACAGCGGGGGGGGGGAGCTGCTGACCTCGACTGAGGAGGTCGTCGGGAGGTGGAAGGAATATTTCGAGGAGCTCCTCAATCCCGTTGACACGTCTTCCGAGGGGGGAGCTGAAGCTGAGGACTCAGCAGCTGATCCTCCAATCTCCTGCGCTGAGGTCACCGAGGCAGTCAAAAAGCTGCTCGGTGGAAAGGCGCCGGGGGTGGATGAGATACGCCCTGAGTATCTTAAGTCTCTGGATGTTGTGGGGTTGTCTTGGCTGACACGCCTCTACAGCATCGCGTGGCAGTCGGGGACAGTACCTCTGGACTGGCAGACCGGGGTGGTGGTACCTCTTTTCAAAAAAGGGGACCGGAGGGTGTGTTCCAACTATCGGGGGATCACACTCCTCAGCCTCCCGGGAAAAGTCTATTCCAGAGTACTGGAGAGGAAAATCAGGCCGATAGTCGAACCTCGGATTCAAGAGGAACAATGCGGTTTTCGTCCTGGACGTGGAACACTGGACCAGCTCTATACCCTTCGGAGGGTGCTTGAGGGTTCATGGGAGTTTGCCCAACCGGTCCACATGTGTTTTGTGTTTTGAGTCAGCTGAGGTGGCTTGGGCATTTACATCGCATGCCCCCCGGACGCCTCCCTCGGGAGGTGCTCGGGTGCCGTCCCTCTGGGAAGAGACCTAGGGGAAGACCTAGGACACGCTGGAGCGACTACGTCGCTCGGCTGGCCTGGGAACGCCTTGGGGTCCCCCCAGAAGAGCTAGAGGAAGTTTCGAGGGAGAGGGAAGTCTGGGTGTCCCTGCTCAGACTGTTGCCCCCGCGACCCGGCCCCGGATAAGCGGTTGAAGATGGATGGATGGATGGATGGATTTCAGCGAAAATGTTTGTCACCTGCTTCTTGAAAATCCGAACATGTCATGCTAGCTAGGTAAATGTTAGCATTACTAACATTTACCTAGCTAGCTTGACATGTTCGGATGTGTTCGAAATCAGCATCTTGCTGAGACGTCTCTAATGTGTAAGTGCACCTGAATTAGACTTCTGTCTGGATACTTATTGTCATCTACATTTACAAGAATAGATAGACAGCAGAGAGTGAATCATGGCTCCACTTAAACAGGAAGACAAACATAAAAGTGTGGAGACATAGCAATGGAAAAAAAGAGACATGGAGACAGTGATGAAGAGGGAAGGTTGTTGATAAACAGGAAATATGATTAACCTGAATTTGCAGATGGGAGAGTAAGAAAGAGTGGAAAACAGAGGGAGAGGGAGACGTGCTGTTGGAGGAGACGGGTCTCTGGAAGAGACAGACATGAATCCAAACCAGCTTAGACTGACAGAGACGGGCAATGCAATGAAATCATGAGCTGTAGAGAAGTAAATGTTTTCTACAAGTTGGGATAAAAGAAATACAAAGCAAAGGGGTTAACCTGAACTGAAATATGGTCACATAAAACACAAACACTGCATAGATATAGCACTATATCATCACTTTAACTTTTTTAATAAGCTCGATCAGTCTGTCGGAAAAAAATTACCATTTCCAGAAAAATACCACCACCTTCAGTAAACAGTGCTGTTTTAAACAGTCTCCACCATGAACAAGACAGTGATCAGGGCAACATTCCAGTTTGTTTTGTGCTAAATGTCGGAAAGAGGAGAATTTTTTTTGCTTTGTGGTGCTAATGTGTTCTTTTTTTTTTTTTAAGGTGTCAAAGGACATCCACTGAACACAGTCACCTTGAGTGCACAGCATGCACATGGAAAATCTTTAAACTCTTCAAATGTATGAAAGGTTAAGGGAAGTTTTGAGGTTAGATTGAATAAACGATAGCAAGTTAGATTAACTTTATTTTTGCTGCCAAGTACTTTGATAAAAACTTGAGACATTAGCCAAGCAGCCAAGTATCCTCGCCACATCAGGAGATAATATGTCATCTCCGGACTGACTATTTTATTTTTAAAATTAAGCCCTGACCTTTCACACTTCTACATCTATCCTAACATATAACTGTGTGGTGCTAATAGGACGGAAGTATTTGAGCTGATAAATGAAAAGTCTCTTTCCTAATGTCATATTTCATAGTGAAATATCATAAAAGTGGGATGAACTTGTACGACCTGTCTGCTTTTCATCCAATCACAGCTTGGGCTGCAAGGAAGAACATACACGGCAGAGACAGCATGCTGATGGGCCACTAATCAGTTTTCAGTGTGAATTATAAGAACATGTATTGAAAAATCTACTCCCGTAAACAGGGACCTTTCTTCAACACGTTCCTAGTGTAGCCTTTGAACTAATGAATGTTTAAATGGATCAACCTGTACAAGGATTCTCTGCTTATCATCCACTGTCAGCTAGGACTGACTAAACCTCCCTACCTCTACCGACCTTCAACCTTCTCAGAATAATTAAGGATGATGAAAATTCACAGTGTGAACAACCAGAAAATCCTGCATGGGTTTAGTTTCTCACTGTGCTACACTGATCACTCTGTGCACCCGTCAGCCACAGCAGGTGACTGCTTTTAATGTTGCAGCTGCTTTTTTTTTTTTGACTTTGTCAAAAAGTCATGCATATTTGTTTTATAGCTTATAGAATTTTACACACTGTTACAAGTTGTTAAACGTTCACTCCACTTTACACACTAGACAGGAAGTAATCTGTTGTTGCTGTGCGCGTCATTTGCATTTGCTTCAGTTAAACATAAATTTTTAGGCAGATTTTGTTCAATAAACCATCGCTAATGGTCCTTACCTGATCTGGCCGTTTTGATATTGACCGACTGGACGCCTCCATTGAGCGCCGAAGTGTCAATAATGACAGAGTCAAAGTCTCGATGTGTCTTGCGGTAGACAAAGAGTGCCACGATGACAGAGATGACCAGGCACATGATCACCGCAATGACGATACCCACGTAAAGAGCCACATCGTCAGTACTTGGAGCAGCTGGAGGTGAAACAGAGAAGCACAGAGACCCTCCATTAAATTGTTCCCCCCTTAAAACACAACACAATTCACAATTTAATTAAAATTAGTAATAAAATGAAGCTTGGACAATTCAATGAATCAGCAGAAGATTGTGTTCTACCGTCACTTTTAACTTCTACACATTCCATTTTTTACCTCACATCACCTATCGCACTCAGAGGACATTTCTAATTTCAAATAAAACTAGCCCTGCAGCTCGTGTAATATGTTAATTTGACTAAACAGAGGAAGAGCGAGGCACCTTTCATAAAACACCAGAAGGCTACAAACTTTTACATTTCAATCTTCTTCTTTTTCTTTCGGCTTTGTCCCTTTTTTTCAGGGGTTGCCACAGGAAATCATTGATTTCCATCTCTCCCTCTTCTCTGTATCTTCTACTCTGACTCCAACTATCTGCATGTCCTCCATCACTGCATCCATATATCTCCTCTTTGGTCTTCCTCTCTTTCTCCTACCTGGTAGCTCCATCTCTAACATTCTTCTACCAATGTTTCCACTGTCCATCCTCTGCACATGTCCAAACCATCTCAATCTGGCTTCTCTAGCTTTTTCTCCAAACCTTCCTGTCTGTGTTGTCCCTCTAATGACCTCATTCCTGATCCTGTCCATACATCATGGCTGGTCTCACCACCGTCCTGTAAACCTTTCCCTTCACCTTAGCTGACACTCTTCTATCACAGATCACTCCTGACACTTTTCTCCAGCTGTTCCATCCTGCCTGTACTCTATTCTTCACCTCTCTTCCTCAGTCTCCTCTGCTCTGAACAGTTGATCCTAAGTACTTAAACTCCTGCACCGTCACCACCTCTGCTCCTTGTAGCATCACCATTGAGGGTGTCAGAAAATATACGCAGGAGCGAACATTATTGTAAAGAAAAAACGAAGGCTGTTAACTGTCATCTGTGTCAGCGTCTTCGTTTGGGCTTCGTAACAGAAGCCTGAGAAGATGATCAGAGCGTTTAGGAGGCATCTTAGGGCGTTAAATTAAGATCAACTTTCACCAAACACAAGAGCACTAACTTTACCACAACGTACTGTAGTGGCAGACTAACACGAGGAGATGCTGAGAGGTGCTACGATGCATGAGCCAATCAGCGTGAGGAACACAATGTGTTTGATCTCCTCTAGGTAAACAGAGCTACCAGCGATGTCTTTTAGTTTATTTTTACTGTTTAAGTTATTTAAGGTTAGAAAATGTTTTTTTAATCCTGAAAAAAATAAAAATATTGGAAATAAAAATATATATTTACCGTAAAATACCGCAATATAGCGAAACTCTATAACTCTATTGAACGATTGTAATATTAAAAAAAAAATCCAAGGTACTGAGGGAGCAAAAGGACAACCGCGATATAGTCTTGGAGACTCTTGCGAGATTGGAATAAAAAAAAAAAAAAAAAAAAAAAAT